ACTAACATTACATTATCTCACTATATTAATTGGATTAACACATTATCAAGGATAAGTACTGAGTGATTAACACTGGTGTCCTTGGATTCAATTATGGGTAAATGGATTAGTTGCCTTTTTTATGAGGTTTTAATTGTTCTTTACCGCCAAAAGTGCGGTATTCTAACGTTAGTTTAAGGAGGGCTGGTTGGCCTAATGTGTGAGAGGTCTAGATGTGCATGTAAAGAAGTTTGACACCACCCTCTTCCACCGACCCTACCTTTTTTTTAAAATCTTGGTTTTCCAACTTATGTCTTAAAATACATCTTTACAAACAATTTTTAATTTATTTAAAAATGATTAATGTTTTACTACATAAAAACTTACTGTATACAATGATAAAAAATAATTTATTTTACCTCCTTGAATGTTTAGATAATCCACATATTTAGATAGGCTGTTGGCATCTACAGTACATGCATTATAAACAGACCTCTCCAAGCCTCTCTTAATATAAATATTATTATTATTAAATTTTATTAAATTTAATTCTTTCTTGATAAAACAAGGAGAGTATCTATTAATCCTTTTTGTGTTAATAATAATAGCCTACTTACTACTGCTGGGAAAAATAATTATCGTACAATATTAATATTATTAATGAAATACAGCAAGGTGCCAAGCCAAATACTCCAACCAAAACTATAGATGCATGTTGACCTACTACTAAACTACTATCTAGGGCTAGGCCTAGGCTTGTTTGGTTATCAAAACCACTTTGCGCGATCCTCCCGTGCTGCAGTTATACGTGATTGGTGTCCTCTGCCCAATCAATGCAGCGCTAGGCCTTAGCATATAGTGAGATGGAGGCTCGGTAGGTAAATGGGTAAACAGAGCTTAAAACTCACACACAAATCATAAAGTCAATTGACACAGTCTTTGAAATAAAATAATAATTATCATAATACTCACATATTGCAAAAGTGAAGAGGTAAAAAGACGTCTGAGCTAAGTGCACTAAAGATGTAGAAATACTGAAACAAGTATTCAACTCAAGCCCGCGCCCACACACATCGTACGCTAAAACCAAACAACCGCACAAAAAAATACAAACAACGCCCTTCTTTTTCTGAACTGCAAAGAAAGGAGACATTTGATTGGCTGGATTGCCCAGCCTGGAATCAAACATGTCTGCGCCCATGAGAAGTTGGCATGAGTGACAAGTTTCTCTCTATTATATTCAGATAATAAGTAATTACAGCGAATTGAGTTAAAGTAATATCCCTATGTGCCCAATTCATCTAAAACATCAGTATCTTTCTTTCTGTAGTGTAGGCTTAGGTCAAGTCTTAAAAATAGGTAGGGCATAGGCCTGGCCTCTCTATAGACTATAGTATAGACTATGGTGGTAGTAGGGACCTAGGCCTAGGCTTTAGCCTAGTAGTAGTAGCCTAGTTCTTGGCCAGCCCAAAATGTACAGTGGGGAAGGTGAGTAGAGAGTAGAGTAAGGCCTGCCGCCAGCTTTTATTAGATTTTCCAGGGAGTTTGGTGGTCCTCCATACATGCTTTTGAACTGGGTTGATGTGTACTAATAATAATATAAATGGAAATTGTCAAAACAAGTGTTATGAACATGTTAAGTAAGAAAGGTATGAAACTTGTTGAAAAAAAATACAAAATAAATGAATACATTTAGTATTCAAGTACAACAGGTAGTTGCTTATTAAGAAAAAGGGTTATATTATTACAGTTTGTCCATCAATTCAAGACCAACTTTAGATCTGAAAATGTTGGGTGGTCTCAGGGTTTGGTTTTTATTACAGATTATTAGATTTATCTTAAAAGATTAAAGATTAGTTGGCACTTGACTTTAAAAAGTGGGCTCAATTTAGAGGGATCTTGGGATTAAAAAGGCACAAATTGGAGGGCAAATTGTTTATTGAAGGTTTACATTTAATAACAACCTTTTAATTCAATATTTACAAGAGGTTTTTTTTTTTTTTTGTATTTCAGATGTAAAAATATGGTGTTCAGAAACTGATGCAGGTCATGCCTTGAAAAGGAATAAGTGGACAGAAAGCAAAACTTGAAAGATAGCAAAAATGACAATAAAAGATATAATTTCATCTCTGAGTGACAACCCTTACTTTGGAGCTGGGTTCGGCCTAGTAGGGCTAGGGTCATTGTTAGCTCTTGGCAAGAAGGGCTCCCAGTATGGAATGATTGCATTCCGCAGACACTTTATGATGACGTTAGAGGTACCAAGTAGAGACAAAAGTTACAATTGGTTGCTTCAATGGATAACAGCGTATGCTAATAGAACCCAGCACCTTAGTGTGGAGACAACTTTTCAACAAAGCCAGAGTGGTAAAATTAACACCAAATTTGATTTTGTACCAAGTCCGGGAAATCATTTTTTCAGGTATTATGGAAAAGGATAGAATTTAAATTATTGTTTAGCTGTAATGCAAACAATTTTTATTGTTATACTACTGTAATAATAAATACTATTTAATTATTAATACCGGTATTATTATATCAAAGTATTGTTATTATTCTTGCAAAATATTAAGTTTGTTATTGAAACTAATTTATGTTTAACATAAATTTGACTGTTAACTTCCCACTAGAGATAAATCTAATAATAATATATGTTGATTTAAATTTCTGCCATTTAAAGTTACAAGAACACCTGGATTCGAGTTGAGCGGAACCGGGAAAAGCAAATGATTGATTTACACACTGGCACACCATGGGAAACCGTAACGCTCACTGCAATTGGAAGAAACAGAGCCATGTTTTTTGAGATCCTTAACCAAGGTTAGATTACGGCGCCCTCAGTGGTGTGTTGATGAATGCTAAAAATATCTGTGTTACACAAATCTTTATGATAAATTTTACGTTTATGAATTTGTGCAATCTTTGATGTGGCAGAAATAAGTACAGATAACCCCAGCAGTCACCATTACTATGTTTTAAAGTCTGACTCTGGTCCAGATTTTTGAATATTTAAAACTAGGGGAAAAAGGTGTAAAAAAGGGCGGTTTAATACGCTCCTTTTTTTCCCCCAGTTTTTAAATATTCAAAAATCTGTATCTCCTTCAACGTTATCCAGTTTTTCGTCCAACAACTTTTTTCCGTCTTAGAAAAAATTAGTTTTACAGCATATCAAATTGTTTTTTTTCTCCAGAGCCTGACTTTAATATTGGGAGTAACAAAAGTAATCTATTGTTTTAAATATATTATTCCAAATTTTATTCTAAAAATAAACTATATATAATAGAAATAAATTAACTGTTATTTTGTTGACCACATTTGTGGAATAGCAAGAGAGATGGCTTTGGAGCAACAGGAGGGCAAAACAATTATGTACACGGCAATGGGCTCAGAGTGGAGGCAGTTTGGGTATCCAAGAAGAAGGCGGCCAATAGATTCGGTTATATTACACGAGGGCATTTCCAGAATGCTACTAGACGATGTGAGGGAGTTCAACAATAACCCAAAATGGTACTCGGATAGAGGTAAGGGTGGTTTTGGAGAGACTTTTCTATCAGTATATAGTATTTATTTTTGTATGTAGTAGAGCATCCAAATGATAATTGGATGGTCTTGGCTTTGAATCTCGATGAGGGAAATAAGTTTTTTCTCCAAAAGTTTATTAAAATAGTGTTTCTTTTCAAATTATCAAATTTGTCTCAACGTTTAAACCTCTTTGTCTCTCGGCTCATGAAGAAAGGCACATACAGTATCACATTAAGATATTTCTATGGAAAAGTTATTGCAGTGAAGGAGTGGATGGAGAATGGTTCCTGTGCTCCTCTAGATATGCAAAGAAATATCAATTTAACAAGTCACTTGACGTTACTCTCTCAGGTATCCCGTACAGACGTGGATATTTATTGCACGGGCCACCAGGATGTGGCAAAAGCAGCTTCATGTAAGTACAGGAGGACTAATACCCTATTCAGACTACACTCTGTTGCAATCGGTTGCGATGTAAACGGTGGACATCGGTGGTAATCCAAACCTGATTACTCCCGATCGCAATCAACCATTGCATTCAGACCAACACAAACTTACTTTACATTCTAGGGCCTAGGCCTCCGGTGGCTAGGTCTATGTTGACTAACCTCAGCCAAACAGTGCCTGTAAAATTTGTTGTGATTCGTTTCGATCGGATTCTGTGGTAATCAGGAGTAATAAAGATTGAAGCACCCAATCACATATGGGTAACAATTGCAATATCGATTACTATCGACTACTATTGGTGAGCTTTCACACATGCTTTTACTTTGCGATTGGGTGACGCAGTTGATACAACCGATCACAATGCAATCTAGTCTGAATAGGGTATTGGCTGTATTCTGATGTAATGGTGATGGTAGTGATAAAGGGTGGTCATGGTAGTGGTGGCGGTGATAGTGATAGGACTCACCATATTCTTATGTGAAACATTTTCAGTAGGCTAGGTTGATGGTAGCCACTGTGTGCTGAAATGTGATCTTTTCAATATTTGTTACCTGGTTTAATTCCATTGCCACTCTCCTGTCAGCTATTAGTGCAGGAAACTGTCTCCCATTTTACTACCCAATTTCACACCACAAATGACCACACCGAAAATAAAGCCTTCAGATTCTCATGCGGTGTTGTAATCGCCAGTGATGAATAGTGAATGAAAATATGAGTGGAGCTGTAGCTTGGTGGTATTAAATGCTTGCTTTCCAATCCCAGGTCCTGGGTGCAAACCCTGTCACTGTTGTAGGATTTTTTTCTCACGGCTAAAAACAACTTCCCTCCATTCCCTAAGCCTCAAAAAGAGACCTGGTTTATATAGTATCATTCCATCCTGTAAGTGGCGAGTGTACTTGCTGTTGAATGTAAAGGAAATCAAACAATAAAAATCCATGTAATAGGCCTACTAAATTTCTCAGTTTTTAAAATCTGTATACCATCTTTCCCTCATACCCAAGTTGGTAGTACCACTGCCGATTGGTAGTTAGTCACCATCTTTTTTCTTTAAAAAATATGATTTAAGTAACACAACGTCATTTATTCAAATATCTTAGCATGGCCTTGGCAGGTGAACTCCAGTACAGTATATGCGTGTTAAATCTGAGCGACAGAAGTTTGACTGATGATCGGCTGAACCACCTGCTGAATGTCGCTCCCCAGCAGAGCATCATTTTATTGGAGGACGTCGATGCTGCGTTTATAAGCCGAGAAGAATCAGAGGAGGGTAGGTAGATGTAAGGGTACTCTGTATGAAGATAAACATATGGGAGGATAGTATTTTGTTACATTTATTTAATTTCCATATATATTGGTGAGTCGATTGGCCTAGCGGTTTAGGCAGGGGTGCTGCAACCTACAGTCATATTATTGCCGCTGGTTTGCACATGCTTGCCAATGGTTCTGGAGGTGGAACAAGTCTTCTCGGATAACTGTAGGCCCAGTGTGCAATTGGCACCCAGTACCTCTTTCGAGACAGATGGGGGTTGCCCCGGTGTACTGGTCCATACTTCCCCTGTTGTGGACAGAGGAGAGGGGCTAGTACCGGTTTACAGGGCAGCTCTGACACAAAGAGACCTTTAGGGGGAAAGTAATCGAATGTTCTGAGTGCTCTGATCTTCATGAAATAGTGCTATATAAATGCTATAATATATTTTCTGGTGGGGTGGGGGGGGGGAGGCTTGAGCTCATAGGCCCGAGCAGATTTTTTTTTTAAATAGGGACCTCTGGTCAGGAATGGCACTCTCAGACTGTAATAGGCGTAGGCCTTGGTCCCCCCTTTTGGAAATTAAAAAACAAGAAATTATTGATCGTCCGAAATGCCTCCAGGAAATTGGAAGTGTTGTCTCTCAATTGGCCCCTCCCTTTTGGACATCTCTGGATCCGCCCCTGAATTGTACAAAAAATTAATTTGTACATATTCAATAGCCTGTAGTAGATTTTCAGGTCTGTTGAATCTTTGAATCCTATGTTTCAGTTGCAGGGAAATACCAGGGCTTGGGACGCGTCACATTCAGCGGCCTGTTGAACACGTTGGATGGAGTGGCTTCAACAGAGGCTCGTATCGTTTTCATGACAACAAATTATATTGACAGGTAATGCGTCTCTTGAAAACATTTATTTCTATGTCTTGCCTTTTTTTTTTACTCTGTGTGTTAGTGGATGATTGTTTTCTTTTCTGTGGAAATCAGTGTCTTAGCACTGAAAGTGTTATTTCAGTATAAAGACAGAATAAATAAAAAATAAATAATGTTTTTGAAGGCTTTTTTGTAGCAAGTTTATTTTATATATAATTCCCACAGAGTGTAACTCACTGTGTTTAAGGTGGAATCAGTACTGTATCGAAGTGTCTTGAAGTGGGGGTGCTGATGGGGAGGGGGAGGGGCTCGATGATCAGTTGAACGAAGCGCAAGCACTGATGATTGGGGCTAGAATTTGGTATAGAGGGTGCTGTTTCATGTTGCAATGTATAAAATTCCTTTATTTAAATACATTTTTTTCAGACTGGATCCGGCGCTTATACGACCAGGACGTGTTGATGTCAAGCAGTTGATAAGCTATGCAACATCCTACCAGCTTCAACAGATGTATCAACGATTTTATCCAGAACTTGGAATAGAAAAGGCCAAAGAATTTGCAAACCTTGTGACAAAAGCTAACAAGAACGTTAGTGTAGCATCTGTACAAGGCTTCTTCATGTTCCATAAGAACGACGGGCTTGCGGTGTTGCATAATATTGACAAGATCTGGAAATTATAGTCACAGTCGAGCGTAAATGAACGTACAGATTATCAGTCAGCGAGTACATTTTGGCTAATAGCGGATGAATATATCAAAATAATAATAATTTTATCGTGGATGCAAGCTAACCAATGAACTCACTGTAGAATGCAATATTACTGTATACAAATATTTTTATTTGTGCAATGGGAAGAATATTTTCATGAACTGAATGTTGCACAAGGTGTAGTACATTTAATCTAAAATAAAAAAAAAAACCTTTGTGAATTGAACAGTCTATCTTTCAAAGAATAAAAACATTGTATTAGGTGGAGGCATGTAAGGAACTGGAATCAAATTACATAAAGAATGGTGCAAATCAAGAAAAGAAATAGTTCACTACTGTGTTAAATGTGATAAATACCCAATGTCATGTGATATTAATCCACCAATCAAATGACAAGGATTTGCAACTACACAAGTGATTTATTTTCATTCTCATCCAATCCAGTATCATTGGCTTTTTCACAACTGGCAGGATGGAAAATGATGCTTTATAAACCAAGTCTCATGAGGCGCAGGACTTTCATTGAATTGTATGCCCAGGACCACTGGATATCTTACTACTAAGCCTCTCCTATAAACCAATTACTACGCTCTAGTATAAGTAGGAATTATGAACCAAACTGGTAAATGGTTTATTTCTTTATATGGAGTGAATCTGTGATTGGTGATTAATATTGCTTTGTACTTCCTGGGTTCAAATCCTCACAACAGCTTCACTCTATGGCTCATATAAGCCGTTGGGAACAGTATCTTGATACTGTACAGGTCTCCAAAATACAGGTCTCCCTCTAATCAAATCCAATCCAATTACAGATTACCTCCAATTAAAGACCAGTTTTCTGTGGTCCCAATCTAACAAATGTCTTATCATTCCAATTAGAGACCAAAGCTGCTAAAGCCCATGGAAACCACAGTCCCAAAAGTGGTCTTTAATTGGAGGGAGACCTCTATAAAAATTAAATACAGTACTAAAAAAATTATAACAATTCAAAAATGTCAAGCTCATAAAACCATCTACCAATATTCTTAACTAAAAATATATTTATAATTTAACAGTATAAATAAAAAGTATGGTAAAATGTTTACAAATGGCTTTTTTTTTTTGTAATTTTACAACACAAGTACCGTAAATGCCCGAATAAACGCTGCAGCGCTTATAAAATTCTTGGCGGCTTTAGTGCGGTGCTTATTCGAGAGCGGCGCTTATTTAAAAAAACATTGGCGTGGCCTTTCCATGCCTATTCCCATGTTACCTATCTTGTGTGTTCCCGTAGTTTGGTAGGCATATCATACACCCTATATCCTCATAAATAAACGTTTATAAAGATATGCTTGTTTCTTCATTGTGTTATTTAATCACTTAAACACTGGATAGGCTACATTTTATATATTACCCTGTTTTTAGGGTGTTTGATTGCACACAGATGCTTATTAACTCGAATAAGTGCCGCTGCGCTTATTCAAGAGTGGGTGCAGCACTTATTCAAGCATTTATGGTATGCAACATAAATGTCTCACTTCAAAGCTAATTCAAAGAGTAAAAGTAAATATATGTAAATTCTTATCTGCTCTTGGTGACACAAAGTTGTCAGCAGATTGTCAGTGTGTGAGGCTGTGCGTGGCTCAACGTATTACAAATGCGTACCCAGGTAGTAACGTTTAAATAACAAACTAATCAATGTTTATCCTTATTACCACAACACCATGAAAGAAAACAGTACTGTACAATCGAATACAATTTGCTGAACTGCTTCAATAAAACTAGTCTTGTCTCTTGTTTAACTCTGTATAAATAACCTGATGGAAACATTATTAAATTATAGAAAAAAAATTTAGCCATATTAAGAAATATTTGGTTAATTCTTCACATTATTGCTGGAGAAAAAACAACTTTACAACTTTAAATAATTGCTCACACACCAAATTGAAATATAAAATTGAGGAGAAGCATTGTAACCAGATGAAAGGGGACGATTTTGGTGTGAGATACGTAGTCCAGGGGCCATTCTAGAGTTTGCAATTTATGCAGGCATTGCAGCCCAAGCCCTCTCACTTTTCCTCCAATGTGCATCCAACACTGACCTGACAAATGATTTTTACACATTAACGACCTCATCAATGCATGGATATTCAGTGTACATACTATAGAATGTATTCAATACAACATTCTTTTCCTTAGTAGGCCTCGGCCAAACTTTCTAGGTTGACTTATTTATACCTTTGGGTTGCGCATGCAGTAGAAAAACATGGTGAGGTGAGGTGAGGCGAAATAAAATATGTGTACAAAGTGCATTCCCAAAGAGAGATGACGGTGGGATTTGAACCACTGACCCCATTGTTACGAGCCTGACTTGCAAACCATTGCACCACTAAGTATGTCAACAATTATCCCAGTCAGTGATGACTATTACCAATCCTGGTATTTTGAAACATTTCCCCAACCCCTTTTACTCACCTACCAGGAACTACCCTGTATAAATTTAAGCTAAACCTGGCTTGAACTTTACCTATGGATGTTAAATTTACATAGCTTCGTTTGGGATCATGCACGCAGTTGTATGTAGGAAACAACTCTGGCAGATCTTCTGTACTTATGTGCGGGGTAAATTGCTTCTGGAGCTCAAAATTAAATTTGATGTGTTTTCGACAAAACTGATGATCCAAAGACGATGGACTTGCAATGTAAACCTCCTTTTCATAAGGTTTATAAATTTCAACTTCTTCAAAAAGTTTTTCTACAATGTTGTGCATGGTCATACGATCAGCGCCTGCCAAATCATACACGCTCAAAATGTTTGACAGTTTCTCAGCCTCAAAATTGTTTGTATCATCAAATTTAGGCTCTCTCCAGGCTAGAAGGTGTTCAGGAGGCATGTACGTGTGATAAAACATAATATGATAGTGCACAGGTTGGTTATTAGCGACAGGTTTGGAGACTATGTTGTTAAGGTGTCCTAAGCAAGGGATCAAGCCACCTTGATGTAAGACACCAAAAATAAGACATGCCAAAAGATTCCAAACAATCCACGGCATGTTTGGCTCAAAGGTATCAGGGGACATGACTAACTTTGAATATAACAAAACAAGTGGGACAAGCAGTGGAATAAGAAACCTAGGCTCTTGGTGAGGAAAAAATGAGAGCAGGAGCAGAGGGGTGAAAAAGCTTAACTGGAAAAACCCCCGAATAGGGGCTATTGATGTCTGCCCCCAACCGGAGTCAACCCCCAGAATAAAAGCAGTGATTTCAGAAGCAAAGCAGACCAAGAGAGGGAGAAACAACAGGGGGGAATTGACCAGTATGTGGGTTATATGAGGGTGTAACCCGTGTTCTTCAAGATTCGAACTATCTAAGTTATATTGAAGAAAGTTTAATGGTGTCACTGTTAAATTCTGGATGAAATTTGAACTTAAAAAATCCACAAAGCTATGTATACAGCAAATCGATGAGGTATCAAGGGTCCCGTAGTAGCGGGAGTCAGCAACTACGAAAATTATGATGCTAAGCACCACGCCTGGGAGAAGTTTAACTCCATTTGTCAACATGTTAGAGAGCAAATTACAGCTCTTGTTTGTTGCATCAACAGCAAGCCAGAATAACATCGGAACTACAGCAAAAATTACAAAAGTTGGTCTGTTAAAGAAGCCTGCAATAAGTATTACAGAAATATAAAAACATTTGTTACTATCATCTGGTATTATCTCATCTCTTTTTTGCTGAGTATTTTCATCTTCCTTATCCCCTTCACCCTCTTCATTTAAATCAGACTTTTCATGTCCAACAAAATATGTTTTTCGTGTGTCTATCACGAGTGCGAGTAGGACAGAAAAGAGAATTGCTTCCAAGCTGTTTGACATAGTGCGCGTGTAGAATACCAGTGTCACGAAGGAACTTGCGAAAATAGTCAAGCATGTGGTGGCACTGAAATTAAGGATATTACACATTTTATAAATGGAATAGTCCATTATCAATGACATTAGTGTCATGATCAGTCTTGGCAGGACAACTAGCATAGCTGAGGTGATAGTGATGAGGCCTTGTTCATTCAAGAGATTCAGCATTTTGAAGACTATTCCACTTGTAATGTAGGGAAGGACCACTGAACGGCAGGGAAATGTTGAGTTGAACTCCCATGGCTTCCTCACCTTATAGCCAAATGCATCCCCTGTAGGTCAAAAAAAATTATCTGGTCATTACAAAAACAAATATAAGTAATGAAATTGCAAATAGCAATAATAAAAGGAATAATTATTATTTATTTTACCACATAGCAGATCAGAAATTTAGATTCTATTGCTTAGTTTGCAAACTACTGTACACCTACAGAAAATAAGGCTGAGCTAGTATTTACAATATTCTTCCATATTACAGTATTCATCTCTTTTTTTTTCTGGTATATACCCCATCTCAATGCATTTATTCACCTAACTCAGACCCCTTAGCTGCAAACTGTACCAATTATTATTTGTGTAATTTGATGCTTTTAAGGCAATTTAAGATATTTTGTATTTTTATGTTAAATAATCACTTTGATTTTTTTTTAATACTACCAGAAAAAATATCATAGTAATTATGATGGAAGGCAACAATTAGGTTTATACTACCTTATTCTTTTTATGCATAATCCTTTGAACAATAGAAAGCGCTATGAGACAATTTAATAAAATGTGGAAAAGACAGGCCTATGCTGTATTCCCCAATCTGCTTGCCTTTGCCAAAGCTGATTTTTCACAGAATGTTTAATCAATTTTAACCCCTTTTTAATGTTTTTAGCCTTTTTAACCTTTTAGCAGACTTTTGTTTTTAAATTTTTGCTGTTTCCTCTGTGATTTTATCTTTTGTGTCTTGTTTTAACTTACATTTTAACTGTGAACAAACAAGAAGAATTTAAACCATGTTCTCACTGTGTTTGACAATAAAAGTTGAATTGAATTGAATTGAATTGAAGTAATAAAAATGATAGCATATCCCTTTTGCAACGTTAAATCTCGTTAAAACCAAGCCTGTGTTAAACCATAAACATAAACCAAGGATGAGTCTTGTTCATGTATGTTCCTTCACCAAAACTACAGCAAATACTATTGTCACCGCAATGCTTCTACGAAATGCACACTCCCTCCCCAGAGGCTTACTCCCCTCCCAAGGCTAAAAATGTTGTCTCTGTATAACTCACCTGCCATAGGCTCAGTGTTCTGAAAGAATTCATCAGGATGAATGTAACCAGTCTGTAGCAGGATACACCACAAGATTCTAATAGCAACTAAAGCACACCACGTTCGATAATCACCCATAATGTCCTAGCAAAAAAAGACGCGCAGTTTAGTCAACATAACATTTTGATATATTATATTCAAGATATTAGAAAATGAGCGGAGTTTAAATATAATCAATTACAAAAATCCCAGAGACTTAAATTTCCTTTAGTGACTAAAATTATAATAATTAATCAGTCAACAATATTTTTATAATATAATTTATAATATAAGTTTGAAGACAGAATACAGTATTCAAAGATTACTTAAATTTTAAAACAACAATGGAGAGATAAATTAAAAAATAATTATTACAGAATTTGAATGGTACTATGGATGCCTGGCTAGTTAGATTCAGTCTATAATTATAGTCAATTTTATTTTTAATTGGTGGATATTTTAATTAGCTAAAAAAAAGGGTGTTTATTTATTTATTCATTCAACTTTTTTTTATGACGGTAGCTATTGCAGCGAGGAGGCTGACTCAAAGAGGCCCTCACAACAAATACAACACATATACAGTAACACAAGTAAAATACACGGTACAAAAAAATACAGATAGCACAATGATAGAATTTCATTAAAATTATAAACGATTTCAATAAACATTTCAAAAAACAATATATAAAAGTTAACTTTTCTAACCAATCAGAACAGGGCCAGGTCATTTTAAAACTAAGGACTGATTTTCACACGAATGTTTTAGCCATGGCCTACTTTAATTGAAGCAAGCTAGGTGAGTGCTGCCCACCCTACCTGCATTGCAGTGCTGCAGCTGCTACTACTACTACTACTACTAACAACACATGCCGCAGAATACGCCTTTTTCACGAATCGGTAGACATCTTAAAGTGATGACAAACATTGCGAATCAGTGGTGCGTAACCAAATAAGAATCATGAAATTTGCCCTTATAATACATTAATAGCTGAAGCCTCCAAGGGGAGGGGTTACTCGTGTAATGGGAACACCTCTCCCCACCTCATGACCAAATTCCCCCGTTTTTTACTATCAAAATGTTAGCATGTATGAAAACTGCATTATTTTAAAAAAAAGTAAATACCTGTATGTCGATTGAAAAAGATTTTATTACGAACTTAATAACACATTAACCCTGTCTCTTATACACATCTAGATGTGTATAAGAGACAGGGTGTAGACTAGTCTTTTAAGAACATTTTGCTGGAAATTTTGTTTAGATACGACGCCCCATTATAGAGTTATGATTTTTTAAATAACATGATGTCAAAAAATCCGCCCAAAAGCTTATCTTATTTCTGTTGGTTACGCACCGCTGATTCGCAATGTTTGTCATCACTTCAAGATGTCTACCGATTCGTGAAAAAGGCGTATTGGCTGGAATTTTATACGATTGCATGGGGTCTTTGACACATCAAAACCAACCAAATACATATTATTGTCCCTAGCATATAACAGGGAGGTGCGACCTACCAAATCCATTCTTTCTAGGGCCTAGGTAGGCCTAACCTTAGGTCTAGGCCAACCTCCTAACCCCGCGCGACAGCCACATGTACACAGCACCACGTCCACGTGGTGGGAAAGGCCGCTTGTTGTTGTAAACTGAACAAAAACGAAAATGGTTTGAAAGCCTACCTACCGTCAATAAAATAGCATAAATAAAGCCGTTAATGGGGTTCAAAATCAGACCAAATATTACGTTTTAATATAAAAGTGATTTCTTGAGTGATAAATTTGACTTTAATGCAAGCATGTATCTTTATGTAGCCCTTCCTTCCGGTTACATTCTGCGTCATCCCTCGCGTACTGTTTGCTTGTGTTTTTTTTTTTGTTGATGCCCAGATGAGGGCGTTTTGTTTTCTCATGCAAATTACCCAAAGAGGGCGCGAAGTCCAAACCCGCCAGATTGTTGTAAACAAAAACAAAACAACCGATGAGAAGCCGAATACCATTTTTGAGGTTTTTGAGCTGCCGAAAAAAGTATGTTGATTAATTTTGTGTACTATATTTAGAAATTAGATTATGTACAATGTTATGTTTTTGTACGCTATATCATTTTACAACCGTTTAGTCCTAAGTTCAAACGGTAATCAGGAACACTAGCAGTGTAGGCCTAGGACCAAGGCTAGACTAGAGAGAGTAAGTACTGTCTCCTCTCAGTGTCTGTAGTGTAGGCCTAGAACTTAGTTTTAAGGCTTAGTTTCTTTAGACCATGTTTAGACTTAAGCCTACAGGTAGTAGCCTACAGGGAGAAAATTGTGATACAGTATGATTGAACTAACAAAGTTAGTTATGACTATGAGGTAGGCCTAGATTAAACAAATGATGATATTATGATGATAATAATGAGGACGATTACGAGGATGATGTCAATGATAGATGATATATTTATATTATAAAATATATAGCAATTACATTTATTGTAAAAATTGAAATATTAAAAATTATTCATATCCCTGGTATTATTTACTAGACTAAAAAATCATCATCATAATGGAGCCCTCAACATCATCCCGCTTTACTGCAATGTCTTCCGAGAAATCTTTAGCTGAAGATGATACCATATCTGTAGAGGTTGAAAAATGCAATGAACTGGACAACAACGCTGTTGTATCAGAAGAAGCGTCTGAGCAAGAGATGTTCATCCCTTCATCATCAGTCTGTCCGAAAACCCCCGATGCAAAAGCACTCAATAGAATTCGTGATCGATATGGGAAGCAATACTGCTCAACACCACTCACAACCCCCAGGCTCACTCCGAGGCTAGGTTTGATTGCTGAAGAGGACCGCCTAAGCATCACAATAAGTGATGTTGATTCGACCAAGGAGGAGGTCACCATCAGTGAAGACTCACCCAAATCAAAAAACAGTGTTTTTAAAGTAGTACTCGCAGCAACAACTCTAATCTTTATGATGGGATTCCTGTGTGGATTTTACCTTTCGTCTTCGAAGGCAGAAGCTGGAATTGAGCTCAGTGACGGAGACACTCCTCCTAGTGTAGAACCTGAGTTGCTTGACCAGTCTTACACTTTGGATGAAGTAATGAAATGGGCAGTGGGAAATGTTAGTGACACAAGGTTGATTCGAAATTACAGGTAAATTGGTATTAAATATTAATTATCATTTTTATATTGGAGGGTTAAAAATCTGAATGATAGATAAATATACATAATCTCCCCAATCTCATAAAAAATATGATTTTTATTAACCTTGTTAATACTGCTTACACTGTACTATAGCTGGTTATTTTAAAAATAATTACCATTTTAAATAAATCCAACCAACAGATCATTTGGCAATCAGCTATGTATTACTGGCTCCCAATGTGACTTGAATTTAGCCAATCACATCGCAGAACTATGGAAAACATCTGGGATTTCTGATATCATCCAAGAGTCAGTGCAAGTAGTCGTGAGCGTTCCAGACATTCGAAAAACAAGCTCACTGAAGATGGTTGACTCCTCAGATGGCAGCATTATCCTACAACATCACCTGTATGGACATGATACCAGTGAATCGTCTGAGGTTGAGGGCAGTACAGTGTTTGATGAGTTAGTTAATGAGACTGTGACAGTGGCAGGGGTCACAACTGTTGAAGCAGCTGAGATCACAGACCCCCTGCAGTGGCCTTTGTCAGACTTTGTACCATTCTCTCACTCAGGAAATGTACAAGTGGGTCAACCTTTTATTCTATCATCAAGTTTTTTTATTATTTTCATACAATATTATTAAGAAGTGGAATTACTGTATTACATTATTTAATTTGTAATTGAATGACTTTTAAGTGAAATAGCTCTTATTTAATAAAGTTGTTATTATTATTTTATTTTTATTGAAATTTATATTGATATTATTATTATTACTGTTACAATTGCCAGTATTTTTATATTGTTGTAATTGTTAAATTATTATTGCTATTATTATTTTTGTTATTGTTTTGATTGTTATTATTATTATTATTATTATTAATATTGTTGTTGTTGTTGTTGTTATCATTATTAAACAAAATATTTTTTATTCTTTATCTCAGGGAGAACTTGTTTATGCTCACTTTGGTACACTGGAGGATTTTAACACATTAATAAAAATGAAGATAGACACCAAAGGAAAAATTGCCCTTATTAAGAATGGACTAAACCCAATATATAATAAGGTGACTTTTAAAATTTTTTTTATTGCATTTAAATCTAAAAACCTGTGCAGACTATAAAATTTTATTTTGACAAAAACATATGACATGCCTAAATATGGTCATGATGACATCACATCATGAACAAATATAGGCACATCATGACTATATATGGGCATACAACAGTTTTTGTCAAAGAAAACTTGATAATTTGGGCAGAGCTATAGTTTACAATATATTTTTTAATTATTCTTGAGATGAGAGATGGAAGTCAATAATACTGAAACTGTATAATACAAAATAATAAATTTAAAATATATATTAAATTTAGCTAAAAAAATATAAATATTAAAATAATAATTATTATAATTACAATATATTTTTATATATCCACATGTAATTTATATTTAGGTAATGCTTTGATCAGTTTGTTATAATGTTCTTTATTTATTTACAGATAATAAATGCACAAGAACATGGTGTTGTTGGCCTTCTCCTTTATGATGACCCATTGGTCAATGAGAATTTACCCAGAATTCCTTCTTCATTTGATGTCACAGGAATTATGGGAGATCCCTTCACACCATCTTTGCCAGCCAATGGTAATCTATTTATGTTATTATTTTTAAAGTTTGTTAAATATATATTGAGTGTAGTGGAATTTGAAAGCATCAAATTGTTCTTATTGTACAAAGGTTTCAGAGAAGATTTTAAAGTGTTCCTTACCTACTATGTGGGTCCATAGGTCTATACTCTCTGAAAGTTCCCTCCCTCCCCCTCCATGGTAGCATTAGTGTGTTAGCCATTTTTTTACTATATGATTACACACTTGGTGATTCTTTTGGCTGCTACCAAGAATGGGGGGAGTGATGGTGATTGCTTTTTTTGCCATTCCCTGAATCTGCCATTGTTAGTGAAGATCATTCCCTGGTTAGATGTTTAGGTTGGATGTGGATGCAATAGAATCTAATACTGTATTCTAAAATATGAAATATTCGAAATTATGTTCCAAAATGTTTTTAAATCTTTCGTGTGTTAGGTGTGTATCAGTTACTCAGTGATAATACCAGTCTACCAAAGATTCCTGTACACATCATCCAATCAGAAGTAGCGCATGAGTTGCTAGGCAACTTGGCTGGGAAAGAAGCACCAGAAAGTTGGCAAGGAGGGTTCAACTTGACTTACCATGTGGGCAAGAAAAGTAAGGATGAAGAAAAAAGAATAAAGTAAAGAATGAAGATCAATGAAAGAATAAAGGAGAATATAAACCAATAAAATAAAGAATAAAAATGTAGATTGCACTGCAGTATCAATATCCATTTTATATATAAATAACGTTTGATTGATTTTTGTTTTAAATTTTGATATAGAAAAATCAAAGAGCATTGTAGAGCTTGAAATACACAACAGTCAAGAAGTGACTCTGATCAGTAATGTGATTGGTACAGTCAAAGGAAAACTATACCCAGGTAAGGATTGAATAAATATAAAATAAATATCTCGATGATTTGATTTTAAAACCTACTTTGTCACTGCAAAATTTGTCTAAATCTAGTTTTTCATCTCTCATGTCTAGATCTTCATCTTCTTTTTTGGTTTGTGACAAATGATCTTTAGAACACATACTTTAATTTTACCTATTAACTCTTATGCTGTATTTTGAATATTACTTAAAGCTAAATAAAATAGGTTACCTGCCCTAACTGAAATATGCATTATGGGGTGGGGATGTTAATCCTTTGAAGTTTTAGTAAGCAGCATTCACTGTAACCTAACCAAACTATACATTATGGGATAAGCATTTTACTCCACAAAGGTCCCATTGACCTGCATATCCCTATCCAAACTATGGATCATGGGGTAGTTTTTTTACCCCACTAAGGGCCTTATGTCCTACATACACCAAACTATTCATTGTGGGTAGGGACATTACTCCACTAAAATCAAGATCAGCATACCCAAACAATTGGTAAACTGTAACATAAAAGAAAAACTTAAAAAAGAACCATCAAAGATCTCAAAGAATATTGTGAACTGAATTTTAAAACTAAAACCAATTGGGCTAGACTTTTTTTATACCATGTTTAGTGAACCCACCGCTTGCCAAAAATGATGCTTTTGTATAAAAATACAATTTTATTTTTGGTCAATTAGCGCATCCGCTGCCACGAAAAAATGGAAATTTAAGAAGAAAAAGTTTTTCTTTGTTTTCAGTTTGCTCATGCTGCCTTCAAATCTCCAACAATAAGATATGTATATTTCTTCAAAATTATATAAATTTAAAACATTTAACCATTGCATTACTACACCGTTTACATTCACCAAAAAGTTTTATTTTTATTTTCTCCTCCATCTGGATATTTTTGTCAAAACCAATTTTTTTTTGCCCACTCTGATGATCATTAAAAAAAAATAAGGTCGCGAAACAAGGTATAAAAAAAGTCTTGCCTTACCTAATTAAAATTCTAACTTTCTTACAGATGAGATTGTTCTTATTGGAAGTCACAGAACATCTTTCCCTGATGATATCCAAGCAGCTGAGAGTTCTGTCTCTATGGCAACTGAATTAGCATCTGTGATTGGGCAGTTACTTCAAAATGGCTGGCAGCCTGAGAGGACCATAATGCTATGCTCCTGGGCTGCCCATGAATATGGTTTCAGTGGATCAGTAGAGTGGATGGAAGTAAGCTATAATTTACATTATACAAGTGATAACATGATAGAAGTGGCTTAGCTTCATATATTATCTTGCAATCCACCTCACAAATGCATTTGTACAGTAATCATGAAAATTCAAGTTTCGTCGGCATTGTAGTGTTTAAATACACTGTAGTTTATTTTGTTTATGGTTTTTGATAGGCTTATATATTTTAATACATTTTTATAATGTTTGAATCATTTTTCATTCTTCCAAAGTCTCCTGCAAATCATCTGAATCTCTCAACAAATCAGTAGTCTTTACCCTTCCAAATAAGAGCAATAATCTTCGCAAACTAATTCAAACTAATCCTTTACAAATTAAACATTTTTTTACTACTGCATTTTTAAAGTCAGTCTGAAGTCAGCTAGCCATGGCATCACTGCATACAGAAAAATACAAATATGTGTTAGGAAAGCTCATTAAACCATACTCACCTCTAAAGTGGCTCCTCCCAACTTGGGAGGACTGTGTCATCATTAGTGCACCTCCAACCTTCTGCTATACTACACTACATCATTCTATGACCATTTCTAACTGCCATATGCATAATGCATTTCTTAGCTTCTATGTCACAAATTTCTAATTTTGTATTGTATGTTGTTGTTCTTATTCTTCTTGGTCTTTATACTGTTCATTCCACTTTTATTGCTCATTTGCTGAATTTCCTCAATGTCTTCAGAAAACTTGACGAGGTGCGTATACCACTTTTAATCCTTTTATAACACAAATATTTCCATAGATATATAATCAATAAAATACTTTTAAACGTAAAAAAATGATAATTAATAAATAATTACATTTTTTTTTCCATCAGAAACATAAGAATGGACTGCTTCAAGATGTTGTTGCTTATGTTGATATAGATGCTAAACCTAGTTTGAGAAACAACATCCATGTTGTATCATCACCTTTTCTAAGGAATTTGGTCCGCAAGAGTGCTCAAAAGGTAATGCAAAATTAGTTATCAAAAACTAAATCCACATAAATTTAAATCAACCAAATTTTCTCATCTTTGTTTTATGAAAATCTAACTTTATATTGATTTTCTTTCAGCTTGGTATTCGAGTGAACTCACAGGAAGAATTGTTGACCTTAGATGGTGACCATGCTCCTTTCGCTCATCACCTTGGTATTCCTTCACTCTCGATGTCTGCAGTTTTACCCCTTGACAAGGTATACTTATTTAGTAGTTTCAAGATTTTTAAAATATTACCACCCTTCCATCATCCCTTTTTTCCACAAATAAAAACAATCAAAAATCCTGTAAAAATGTGAACAATCTTGTAACCAATAAGAATCTTTGTATGTGTGTGACATCTTTGAGAAGCAGCGGAGAAAATACCTCATCCGTATTTTTTGGGGAAAAAATTGACTAGTATTTATACTTATCCTTAATATGTTAGATTATTGTAAAGCCTCGACTGTCCAGTATTAATCTGGAGTCAAGCCAACCAGTGATTAAAGCTAATATAGTGAAGTGTTTGCTAAAATGTAATCACTAGGCCCTCATATGTATTTTTTACTTTACCTTTATCAGCATACCGGTGGGCCTAGTGGCACAGTACCAAGCCTCTCTGTGGCAACACAGTTCCTAGCCCAGTTGACAATGTTGCTGAGCAGTTATGATGTGTTGCCTCTCGATCTGAACACATTTGTTGATGAGGTGGTGGGATACTACAGGATACTGGAGACACAATATGGAGACCGTCTTCAACAGCAAGGTGTTTCTCTGGGTAAGATTATGGTAATTATTGTGCTGATTAAGAATGCGATTATGATGATGTGAAAGATGATGGAGATAATGATGGCATGGTGATAGTAATAATGAATTTGCTTATGTGGGTATTGGTGAAGATGCTGCTGATGATGATGATGATGATGATGATGATGATGATGATTGTCATCATGATGATCTAATGATTGTCTTTGTTGTGTTCCAGTGACGAAATGAATAAATTATATTAAATTGTCATGCTGATGTGGCTAAAGATCATAATATAAAAAAAATGATCAGATTACAAATAGGCCAGGAGCCATAATAGTAACTGATTGATAAGAAGTGCAAATAACACCTATATGATTTTTTTCAGATGTACAGTATATAGCTTTTTGTTAACATAAGTTAACTTCTGTGATGAATTAAAAAAAAAAAGTATTGATGATAAGGTTGGTAATGGTGGTTATAAAGTTATGATGACCAATGGACAGTTAACGGAGTCTTATTTTTATTGTTCTTTTGTCAGAATTTCTCAAAGAGAGCATAAATAAAATGTCAGAAGTCATAAGTTCACTAGAGCAGCCGACAAAACCAACAGAACTGCAGATCATGCAGGTTAACAGGAAATTCAGAAAACTTCAAAGAATATTTATTGACGAAAATAATAGCAACTTCATCAGGTTAATATTTTTTTTGCCATCTTGATTTTCATGTTTATTATTTTATAATTAGAAAACCTGTAAACTACATTTCTGTCACCAACAGAAAAGTTAAAAAAACAAGTTCTCATAATCTCGAAAGCTCTGATGAGGGCAGTATAATAGAGGCAGTAGAGCTAATTTAAATTAGATCTATTACATTGTTAGTTTAATACTATTTTCAAACCTTCATCATCTCTGAAAAGTAAGATGTTTTTCACTTGTACTTAACAATTTGTTTTTGCTTTTTTCAATTTAGGAACATGCTGCTTGGAAGGAAGTCTGACTATTCCACATTCCCAAGACTGGAAGAGCTTCTCGATTCACCTGATTTTCTAATTATGCAAATAAAACAACACCTGGCAAAACTGTACCTAGCATTTGAATCAGCAACAGAAGTGTTGTCATGGAAACCTTGAATAAAATACCTTTTGCCATATTTACAGTACTACATAGTGTTTACAGGGTCTTCTCTGAATTTAGGAACTTGTATTCTGCAATTTTATCATTATTTTCTTTTACTGGACATGGACCTTGTATAGCCCACCATCCCCTGAAGCAACTATTGCATGCCTTTATGTATATGAAACGAAAATGTTCAACCCTCTGAACCACAGAGGGCAGTTATTGAATCTAACCAGTTACGTAAAGATTGCAGTGGTTCAGTCCACACATAATTCCACCAGTTTACCTGGGCATTTAAATACTCGCGCCATAGAGTAGTAGCGCTTTACGGTATATACATTTTCCTATATCCAACACAAGGCGTTCATATGGGTAAACCCAGAGGTAGATTGTATTTGGTCCTGACTAAGAACATTGCCGGCCCAGGCAGACATGATATGTTACTCTCAGATGAAAATCCATTTGATTAGCCTACAAAAACGTACCTGTGTACTCCACCGGCTGATGAGCATGCTGGCGGCATGTCAGTGGCAACAGCAGCTTTAGCAGCTATGCCAGATACATACCAGTAAACTAGTACAGTATACTGTTTTCAATTATCAATAATGAAATACTGTAGGAATATCCTACATTGTATAAAAGCTAATTGGCTTGTTAATTTATGTATTGTATTTATAGAAATAAATGGGCTTTCATGGACACCAAAGAACATTTTGATGTTTATAGCATTTAGTATTTATTATCAGAGAATCATTCTTGTACACTGCAGTTTTATGTCATTCCTACAACAGTGATGTCTCCAAGACATACAACTGGGACGGAAGTTATCAGAGAATGCTCGTTTCTTTTATTTTATGCGTAGGCCTCCCTGGCAGGGGTAGCGCCAGAATTTGACCGACAGGGCATGATATGCCCGACAAGAGCAAAGTGGGCATAATCAGGCGTCGCTTAAAATCTTTTGAAATTGGTCCTTGGGGTGAAGCCCCCAAGCTGATTGACAGTTTAGTTGTTTCAAATGCATGTTTCATGGATTTTAAAATCAACTTATATGTAGAAAATACATTTTTCCCTCCCCGATGAAGTGTGGCATTTCTCTCGACGGGGCCCTAGTCCCCATCCCCCTGCTGGCACCTACCCTTACTCCCAAGTTGACTAAAATAGAACATGTTGCTTTACCCAGTCTCATTATTTTTAAGTAAAACATATACAGTACATTTATAATTATCAATATTAGGATTATTAATTGTTCTTCAATGGGGGGGGACCTGGATGTGAATTACAGATCGATACAAAATGCCATTGAAATATTGTTCGACTTCGATAAAATTTGACTTACAGATTGTTAAATAATTGAAAACACAACAATTTGGCATGTAAAACAAGATTGACTTAGGCAAGTTTAACTGTATTTGATGCTATATAACTTAGACTAGGACTACTCCCCAAGGTACATACAAGGGGTGTCAATGAGAACAGGACTAGAAGTACATACATATTCCACAAGCATAGCCTTTCCTACAAAACATGTGCATACATTTTAATGGTGAAGTTTTGCAGAACATTAGTATATCCAATGGGCTGTGCCTAAGAATAGATTAATTATGATGGATTATAATTGTGCTGTGCTGTGATATAATGCCTGGGAACACCTTGAAATCTCATGTATTGGTACAACATTGTACTGTAGTTACTACATATCATACATCAGGATATTTGAGATTTTCAGTGATTCTTGACAGTGCACACCCATCACCTCAGCCCCACCATGAAACATTTGTATCACCTCTACATGCCAGGAAACGACACTTCCAGGCAATATTATACACTGTATTAAAATAAAGACAATCAACATTTGTTAATTTGGGACCACAAAAAAGTGGTCTTTATTTGGAGGGATCTTTAATAAGGAGGTCTGTATATTGTATAAGGTTTATTTTTAACAAAAAAAAAAAAAAAACTCTACAAAGTTGGTAGTTGCGCAATACTGTAACAGGCTGGCATTGGGGACCGTAATCACCAAATGGTATGCTTTGCATTTTGTTTTAAAATGTAAATTATCGGAAAAAGTGCAAAAACAAAAACAATTAGATTACTGTATATGGGGCTGCCGTGGCAGTTAGTGTTTGATTTAAAAGTGCGAGTCTTGCTAGTTGAAGTCGATGTGCAGAAAAATAACAAATCAACAAATTCTTGGTGAATATAAACATGTATTTATTAGTTGATTATATTCACTTACACACCAAAAAAAAAAAAAAAAACAGGATTGAGTTTTTTTTTATAGCTGCTTTACTTTCATATCTTACAACATGATCACCATGACAACAAAGACATCCATCCAATCACAATGGTAACTAGCTGTCTGCTGCCACCATGTGGTGCGAAGTCCAAAATACAGGTAAAGGTATCTTTTAAGAAAAGCTATGTAATTGTTGTTAGGCCTCAAAAATGCTATTTGTGACCTGCAAACAAAACAAAAAATCTAAAATGCTTTAAAAACCCATAAACACTAAATATTCTTTAAAAAAAAAAAAAAAAAAAAAAAACCCTTATAAAGCGTATATAAAGTAAATAGAAATTGAGCAAATATTTTCCCCAAATGCCTACCTATCTACAAGAGTTGTCGCAAGTGGGTATATACAATTAATACTAGTGTTGCCTCGTTCCTCGCATCGTCGTCACATCACCTCCCAATCACACATAATTATGCGAGAAGACATTTTTAAGAAAACAAAAATAATCAAATATTTGCAGCAGACACCAAAAAGAACGTTAATTATATTTGTACAATTTAAATTAATGATGAAAAAATACAATTAAATGACATATTTAATAATAAAATACATTAATCAGTATAACACTACAGAGTAAAATTATTAATTTTTATAAAAACAAGTAATTACAATGAGAAACATTGATAAAATGCATGGACTATTTTACAACCACAAACACATGCAATTTATTTCATGGTAACAATTTTTTTCTGGATTTCTGATGTTGTTCAATTTATGGCAACATGTTTTTAAACTGTCTATAATAAAAACTGTTTCCTACTCTTTAAAATGTTGTTAAATTAATGGCAACAAATGTTTTTAGAATTCTGAATGTTATTTATTTAGAGGCAAAAAATGATTTCATGTTTTTGTATGTTGTTTAATTATTGCCAACAAATGTTTCTAAAATGTTTAATTTTAAGAAATGCTTCCTGATTCCTTGATGTTGTTTAATTAATAACAATTAAATATTTTAAGGATAATAGAAAAAAAACCAAACATGATACATTTAACAATGTTTGCAGTTAAAGTTAGCTGTACATTGCTCGCCAAGGTTATGTATTGCAACATGGATGAGGGCTCACTTAAAAAAGAGAAAGATTTTCTCAATCGTGACACTTAAACCTCTTAATACACAACTAACCATCTTAAAACAAGAACATTTCTGCCACTAAGGTACAACTACTTTTTAATATTCTTTTGTCTCAATACAGTGAAAATATTGGTAAATTTATGTTGATTGTAATTTTATAAATACATTGCAGGACTTCAGCAATTATACAGTTCTACTTTAAAAAGAAATTGTATCATTTCATGCTCATAGCTTATATTAATATTTTTCTCAATTTCAAGGTAAAATTAATAAAAACAAACAAATAAAATCTGATAATTAATTAAAAGAATAAATGCAGAAAACACAACTGGGATGCCAATAGCAGAAATACAATTTATGAATATTTAATCATTCTTCTGTTATCCATACCTGTTTATTTACAATCTATCATAATTAGCATAACCTTTGACATTAATAATATGATCATCAAAGCTCTATGTACAGAGAAATAATGTTTAAAATTATAAGAAATTCATTCTTACATCTGTGTACGACCTAACAAACTAATCAAAGAAGAATAATAATAAATAATATTTCAAGTCCTGAATGTACAATATAACTACATTGATTTTTTATCACCTCAACTACAACATTATTTGTTTCAAGTACTTAAATGTTTTTTAAATGAACACCAATGCAGCTTTCAGCCTCATCTCATAATTATTTTCATTGGATATGTGTAACTTATCATTAAAATTAATATTAATAACATTAATAGTTACTACAGCAAATAAAAACATCACTATATGTCATTAATAAAAGCATTTAGATACAAAATCAACAGATGATAAAACTGAGGAAACCTTGTCACTTAGTTTTCTCTTTTGGCAAATGAAAATTTACAGAAATTCTTGCATTAACCAGTTTGTATTATGGGATTTGTCAGCTGACTTATTGCCATAGTAACCAATCCTCTCAATTCTACTTAACACAATCTTTATAATAACTGTCAAAAATAAATTACATATTAATAATTCCCATATACATAATCATATACTAAACATAGATTCAAGAAAAAAACAGTTAAAAAATGTATCTGGATTTGTCAGCAAGAGCTCAAAATTTGGCGTAACTATTTTTCTAATACAAATGTCCAGAAGCATTGAATAAAGTGCTAAATGTATCCGTGGTTACCATTATACAATAAAATTCAACTAAATTTGTTCCTGCACCTATGTATCTATGGCGATAAGACCCTAGCAACAGCAAGCAAGTTTACTACATCAAGTTACAAAAAAAGTTACTGTTTCTTTCCTTACAATGTACAGCCTTCCCATAATGCACTGGGTTCCTCACATCATTCCAACACTAGGTTCATCTACATGGGCCCACAGTGTGTAAGGATGTTTTTAACACAATGCACTGGGAACAGCATTCCCTTTATTAGATTGGATTACCGTACAGTATCCCACAATGCAGTATGGTACAGGGTATGTATTGAATGCTGATATTATTTTTTTCTCCAAATTTCAAGCAAGTATTTCAATAAAATCCATTAAATGTTTTTTTTTTCTCTCAAGTATTTGGCAATCCATGATCAAAAATGTTGATTTAATCGCAAACTGCTTAACCATAATTCCTCATAATTCCTTGAGTTGAACATCTACTTTTATGTCACAGTTTAAAGTCCTTGGTTTTGCATAACAACACCAACTAACTACAGGTGATAGTCTATAGCTTTCATTTAGTATGATTATCAATTTACATTACCGGATCTTTCTGCTGCCACTATTGTTTCTATCGCAAAATGCCTTTTCCCTGAACTAATGTCTCATTTCCATGACCATATTATTTCCATAACAACAATTGTTCCATATCCACAATAAAAATGTTGTTGCTATACACCTAAGGTCGTAGAGATCACATGCTTTCCGTATCTGTATCGACATCAGCCAATGAAATGGCAGTGATAAGGGGTGTATAGAGTGTGTGCGTCAAGTGATTCCAATAAAACATGTGATTGGCTTATATAATTTCAACCTCAACCTGACTTGCAAACCACATGGAGCTTCCTATGCAGAGACTCATGTCACACTATGCAAAGGTTCCTTCGTTGTTCGCAGAAAAGTGGAAATTTTCATAAATGATTTTTTTTTTCTGCTGACGATGATCGAAGCAGGTCGATAAAAAATTATATCGACATCTTTATAATCATTATCATCCTTCGTGTCATCATCTTTACCTGTAAAAATATTTTTCAGCGATTGTGATCTTCAAAAGTTAATATGTTAATTCAGTTTTTTTCCAGTTGTTTTTATTTTTTTTTTTTGTATTAAAGTTTTTCCTTGGCTGGTACCCAGATTGCTGGGCCGGCATTTTCCTGGATGACTGCTTTTACCTCTTGATAAATATCCTGAATGGTATCCCCTTGTACAACAGCTGAAGGGAAAAAAAATATATATATATATAAGTTTACATTGTCAAATTTGTAAATTTATCAATCAATTTTAAATAACTAAACACAATTTTCAAAGTAATCAATCAAATTATTAGTCTATGAAATTTTTATAAATTTATATATTAATTTTATTTAATAATTAATAGCATCGAAAGCACCTAAGACATTTTAAATGTTAGGTGGCCACACGTCATTCATAATGAAGCCTTGTAATAGACAACTAGGTCAGCACTGCCTTCTGAGTGTGTTCCCAAATTAAAGTGGAATATGCTAGAACATAATATCAGGCTTACCATTAGCACACAGTCACTAACTGTTATTAAACTGAGTAGTTAGCATAAGAATGTGGCAGAATTGTATACTTTAGTACACAGAAGCTGTATTACTTTTACTTATAACTTTGGCAATAGTAAGATGAATCCAGTGAATGACCTATCACCTTTAAGCTTACAATGAATATGAATATATTAAAAAGTCAATTTCCTTGTTTTGGTCACCAACACTGGTTTTGGCATGCCTCATAATACACTGCATCAATGTTTGCAGAATAGTTCCTTCCTGGCAGACACCAAATGAATTTCTTAACCCTTAAGAAAACTGATCTTGTTTATAAAAGGTATCATTTAATGCACATTTAATGATATTTTAAAGTTAAGAGACATTGCCGTAATCAGAAGGATATGATCAGATATGCATTAAAAATATTCAAAGGCTTTGTAATATTATTTTATATAGAGGCTTGACCTCCCAAAACCAGCATCTGTGACCAAAAAATAAAAAATTACTTTTTAATATATTTTTATTCTCCACATCGTAAGCTTTAAAATGATGTGTCATTTACTGGCATCGACTTAATATTGCCAACATTATGAGTAAAGTATATGGCTTCTCTGAACAAAGTATACAATAATGTCACATTCTAATTATGCTAATTACTCAGTTAATGATAGTATGATAGTTTTAGAATGGCAAACCTTAATTAATAAATTGAAACATTTCCCTGTGCAATTATTATGGCAAATCCAAATACATCCTATCATGCCTATTCAAAATGTAAAATCCTGAGCACTCTGTCCTCTAATTGGATAACACTGAGTGACACCTACCAGTGAAATATTCAGCAAACTCTTGTTCTAACTTGAGGGCACGATCGTACGTCTTCCTTGCTTGTTCCTCCGTCATACGTTTGTTCATCTCCATGATGGATTCAACTGACTTCGGCTTGAGGAATATTGCGATCGGATGTAATGATGCTACTTGTAACCGTTTGATGGCGTTTCCACTTACATCTAAAATACAGTGTTTACCCTAGAACAAGACAGAATTAGCTCTAGAGATTAAACAGGTTAATTCCTTTTTTGTTGTTTAATTTATTTCACAATCATATACACTTGAAATAATTTGAAGTATTCATATAAAAATGTAAATAAATGAGTTACATGATTTGTCCACCAACTCAATAAGATAAGCACTAGGAGAGAGCTGTGAATGCGGTAATTACATGCTTGTCTTGTACTCCCCACATTCAAATCCTTCATATGATTTTTTTTCATTGATAATCCAACAACAAATCTTAGCTTTTCCTGATCTTCATTGTTAAGCTATAAACATATATACTTAGAAGAAAGTATATGTTTTTATTTACTTCACATCGAACAGCAAGTACACTTGCTACTTCTAGGATGTAACAATGCTAAGTCTCTTATCGAGGCCTAGTGAGTGGAGTTGTTGTTGAGAATAAATTCTGCTGTGACAGGAAATGAACCCAGGACCCAGGGATTAGAAAGCCAGAATCTAAAACCACTAAGCTATTCAACTCCATTTCCATGTAGTTTACTTCTAAAATTATATGTATAGCTTAATTATATTTTTCAAAGCATAAATATAATTTTTTATAAATATATTATTAATATAATAACAATATGTCAACCCTGACTTGCATTATTTATTTAAAACACTAAGCAGTATTAAGTGCATTGCCTTTATGGACAATATCAAATATGGAAGTACATATGAAACACTTATAAAAGGAACAAACAACACCTCAGGTATAATTGACACTTGAGGATTTGTCACTAGAGACCATATCATTTTTTCCAATATGTTAAATAGCTTTCTTTGTATATATCAGAGACTACTAACACATTATGCAGATAAATAGGATCTTAGTGGAATAACGTCCCTAACCCTTAATGCATAGGTTGATAGGAACAGGGTATGCGAGTCAATAGGACCTTAGTCGAGTGACGCCCAGGCCTCGAATTTGGGGATTTTATGGGCAAGGCCAAATGGTCTCCGGTATGACATGATTTTGAAAGGCACCAAGGCCAAATGGAAAGGCACCAAGGCCAAAATTTCAAGTATAAAAGGGCACCCAAGGCAAAATTTTATTTAGCCTCAGTACGAATTTCTCGCGAGTGCCTTGATTCGTCGTAGCCAGGCTAGGCAAGCTAGGCCTAGCCAAGCTATAGTTGTCAATGGTAATATGACTTTGTTTAGAGTATTAACTATTAATTATCGATTCAATGTTGGAATATATTGCGGCGGTCGTACAAAACATTCAAATTTCAAGAAGTTCGATATTGTTGCTCAGTCCGTCGTCATCGGAGAGGAAGCCACAACTCTAAACTGGCCGCGAAAGCTGCAATGACGTAAGATCGCCCAAAGTTAGCTGTGCATCAAGCACATGTTTACAACTATACAAAGGCTGTATTCGACTGGTCGTTCTTCGTTAAACCACGCCCATTTGAGCAGCGGTAACATCCTACTCAACGAAGACGACCAGTCGAATAGAAAACTTGTAAATACTCCACAAAACAAAATGGCTGTATAGTTACCGCGATACACGTTGTGTAATCAAGACTGCTTCAACTTGTGGTAGTATGGGTTTTTCGTTAAAAAAAACATTTTCATCCAGTACTTTTTATTCTGTTTGCCTACAATAATTTTTTGACTCCATGTGGGTAAATATTATAATGTTTATTTTATGAAATTTAATCTAAGTTATATTAACGTAAATGTTGTTAATAAAAAATCACCAATCGGCCATGTTTCTCTTTGGTCACATGGATAACTTAACACTGATTAACGCACTCTGGTTTACGTTAATTTTCGTTGTCAACGAAGTTTATTTAACGAACCAGTTGAATGAAAATAATACTCAACGAAAATTCATTCCAACGAAATGAACCAGTCGAATGAGCCCAAGTTTATATTGCAATAACCCCTAGAGTAAGACGCATGTGCACACAACGGTAACCTGCAAAAACAGTTCGTATCAACACACATGGAAATTCTCTCATGTTCTGTTCTGTCACTGCAACCTGGCCTAGGCTAGCTTCCCTACGTTTTTGGCTTTCGTGTTTTCTTTCAAGATTTAAACGTTCTTACTTAGATTTATTTTACGTGTCAAACGATCTATATTAAGCATCGTGAGGGCACCGAGGCCAAGGCTTCAAAAGGGCAGGCAAGTAGTGGCCGTCGTCGTGCTTCATTTTCAGGGGCACCAAGGCGAACTAGGAGGGCACCGTCGGCAATGGCCGCAATAAAATTCGAGGCCTGGACACCCCTACCCCAAAATTCATAGTTCGTTTAGGCATGCGTTTTATTTGTGTCCTTTGTATGTACTGTATTGTTCTTGATGGATAATAGCACTTGATTGCAATACATGTAGCAATAAAAAACTGAATTTAAATTGAACTGAATTGTTGCCATGCTCACCTTCTCAGCAACCTCCCGCACTGACTCAACGCTGGTGCCATACAGGTTCTCGTTGTATTGTCCAGCCTCGATAAATAGATGATCTTGGATGTCTTTTTCCATTTGTTCTCGAGACTCAACGAAATGGTAGTCACGTGAATCTACCTCATAAGGCCTTCGCTGCCGTGTTGTGTCTGATGAAAATAAATTATAAATTAAATTTATACATTGGCAAATCAATAAGATTGGAATAAAAATGATGATGATGACGATGACAATAATGATGACGATGATAATAATGATGAAGATGATGTTAATGAAGATGATGAGGATGATCATGGTGAAGAAAATGATGGAGGTGATTATGATGGAAATAATAAAGATGATAGATGGTGCTAATGAAGATGATGATAATGATGATGATTAGATAATGATGAATGATGATTAGCAATAATCTGCAATTATGATAATACATAATAATATATAATTATTATATTAAATTTATTTGGGATTAATAATTTATTTTGATGACTCACGTGGTATGCAACTTCCAAACCTATCTGGCATCTCTGAGATGAGGTCATCGTTGATACGATCTTTACTAGGTCCAAGGATAATGCACGGCCTTGCATAGCTGACTGCAAAAGAA